AGCCCAAGAGGTTGGTAAGAGGGGAGCATGAGGCTCGAACACCGCCTTCTTCCTGCGGAAGAATTGCACACCAAAGTAGTCTCTTCGCATTAAACATTCCGTGGGAATTTTATGTGAGCTCCGTTGTGAGCTGCTTCGTCTCAGTCAGTCGAAATCATTCACACTGGCAGGGCTTAATTCTTACCAAATCTTCGGAAATCTCGTTTTTGGGTTTTAGTGAAGGACGTGTTGTTCGGTGGCAAAATGAACACTAAAAGATCAAGTCTTTATTGAGTACGAGATATTATTTGGCACACTGCACCATATATCTACTTCTACTTCCTGAAAATATGGCCCGTCGAATTCTGGTGATTGAGTAATGCGGATACCCTACTCCGCAAATTGAATCAGAGTACATTACCTATGTTTTTTTGTCTGTTTCTTACTCCTCTTCTGCTTGGTCTTTTTCGATTTCCTATTAGCTGTCCTGTTCTTACGAGTATTCCTTTTTCCTGAAGCATGGAAAACTAACTATACAGCACAAACAAACTATATACAGTAGTGTTCAAAAGTTTGGAAACTTTATAATTTCTCGAATAGCACGGCCAGTTGAGATCGTAATTGTCCCAGGTTTGATATTATAATAGATATAAAATTCATGTGGGAAATATGGATGCAATGTGGTTTTACGAAAATTAAAAGTCTGATCCTTAAAATACGAAAAGTTCGAGGAACAGTGCGTCATAATTTTGGAAGATCTCTACATGCCATATCGTTTTATCTTCTTGTTGTCCAGGTTGGTGGATTTTTCGTAATGTTTAATCAAGGCATGGTATATTGGGCGGTTCTCGGATGGGATCAGGTGAAGAAATTCTAGTGTCCATCCAGGAAGCAAATATTGAAGCCATTCGTTCCGGAACGAAGAAGAGTGACATGACGAATGAGATGACAAAAAACAACTGGTCACCGCAAAGAACCGGAAGTCCCGATTTGACTTTGCGCGCAAGCACCTCGCCTGGAATAGAGATGACTGGAAAAAGTTTTGTTCTGCGACGAGTCAAAGTTTTGTCTTTCCGGGAGTGTGATATAATATATATATAAAACGTCCCATTAATAAGCGATGTGATCCGAAGTACCAAATCCCGACGGTCAAACACGGTGGAGGAAGCCTTGTGCTATGGGGATGTTTCGGTCTATCCGGCGTTGGTCCATTCGTTCGTATCCAGGGTAATATGAACTCGGCTCAGTAAAAGGACATCTTGAAGAATGTAATGCTCCCGTTCGCCAAAAAAAACCTGCCGACATGGTGGATTTTCCAACACGATGATGACCCGAAGCGTACTTCCCGCCTCGTGACCAACTTCCTCCAGTCGAAGGAAATCAACGTTATGGAGTGGCCAAGTCAGAGCCCAGACCTGAATCGTATAGAGCACCTTTGGGAAGAACTAGCACGTCGTACAAGTAAGGTTCCTGTAGGGAATGCCGACGAAAAATTCAATCTTTTGTCTAGAGAGCGGCGGGCTCTGATGCCACAGCCCAAAATTGAAACCTTAATCGATTCAATGCCAAGAAGATGCGAAGCAGTAGTCGATTCCCTTGGGTATCCAAAGTAGTACTGATATTTTGTTTGTAAATTCTTGTTACCATGATCGATTTCCCCTGTTACTGTGAAGTTTCCTTTTCACAAATCGTGTTTTTCAACTCTGATCATCGGGTCTCGAAGAAACACGTTGCCTGTCGTGCTCTTCATTTGCTTTTATACCTACTATGCAAAATTGAGACAGTACGTAATTCAGTGCCAGTGCTATAACGAAAAATAAAAAGTTACCAAAATTTTGACCGCGACTGTATATGTACAGGGTGTCCCAAAATTATTTGCGCCAAAGTTCAGTAATTTTTAAGGTAGAAATAATCTATCAAATTCACATAACCTGTTATTAGTTAGTTGCATAAGAAGGTTTTCTTGCAATATGCATGGCTACTGATGAGGAACTCTCAATATCTTTCAGATGGAGGAGGCTCATTCAATGCCACTTGCAATCATTGACGCGCAAAAAGTGGAAGGGCGTTATGAAATTCTTTGGGATTTTTCTAATAACCGTATAGGAGGCTATTAAACGATATAGAAAAGAAGAATGAATCAGAGACAAACCAGGAAAGATAGAAAGGTAGAATGTTTCTCAAAATAGGACTATTAAAATGGTCCGTATGCCAATCGGTCGGGATCCTGGGTGACCCATCAAAGGGAAGTCAACGGGCACGGCTTATCCGAGTTATCGCGATGGAAGAATGTCATGCAGGAGCTTCACCGTCGTTCCTATCGTATGCAGAAATTTCGCTTCAATTCCGATCTCAACAGATACTGCAGGCCCAAAAATGCAGAAAGTCGAAAGTGGTGACACGCAACTCTTCGTCGTTTTTTTTGGTCATGAAATTTTTTTAGGATAAAGCCATTCCTCAACAACCAAACGTTCGCGTTCCGGAAAGAAACATCCAGCGTGTAATCACAAAAAGGTTGTTATCAGAACAGTAAAATGATGTTTTTCGAGGAAATCACTGGCAAGGGTAAGCCGCTCGTGGTTTCTTCGGTGAAGGCATGAAAATTGACCAAGACCAGTACTCAAACGGCGTACTAATGGAAGTAAATAAAACATTGATCCGACTACGTTTTCTGAAACATCTCATAGTCCTTCCAGTCAGCTGCCCGACTTCATTGGTGAAGAGGAGTGGTCATCCTATTTTCCAGAACTTGACTCACTTGAATCCCACAAATGGTCCCTGATTAGAAGAGGACCTGTCGAGTTTGCAGTCCCAGTTTGGAGTCCTAGAATGCAAAAGCTGGAGGACGGCTGGGAAGAAATGGAGAAGGATACCTGCGTGCCACATGCGATCAAGTCGAAAGCAAACTTTGATTTCTATTTGCGCTCACGGGGGATATTTTGGAATGCGACTTCAGCATGTTAGCACATAGTGTTAGCTAGCGTGCATAGAAATTCCATCGCCTTTCGCAGTCGAGAAGTTTCAAATATATTGCTATAAATCGGCGCAAATAATTTTGGGACACCCTGTATATGTAAGGAGAGCGAAAGAAAGATTTGTAACTTCTTCTTACTCGATTTTTTCACTTTTCTACCTTGAGACTTCCTATTCTTTTTTGCTTTAGTTTTTTTACTTTTTCTGAAATAAAATCCATTCACTAATTTCTAGGGAGTAAGTGATGAAAAAAAAGAAAAAGAAGTTCTATCAGATCAGACTAGTTCAGATTGAACTCTCACCTCTTTCTATTTTTCGTGTTACTCTTAGATCGAGTGCGTGTATTTTTTCGCGAAGTTTTTCCATTTTTGCTTTCTGAAATTAGCTAATCAAAATAAACCTGAGAATAATCGGAACATTCCACGCATTTGACAATGGGATGCATAAATTAACTTCTCACGCCAATCTCGTTCAGTGACAGTTTCCACCCCCTAAAGGATCCTTTGCCGAATGGTAGCGCGGCTATGTGGAACGACAGCAGAAGCGACCAGAGAATAAATCTCGTATCAAAAGCTGGTACGTGACTGGAAGCAACTGAAGTCAGAGGATGATCTCCCTGTAATGCCGTCTTGAGTCTTCATATGCTTTCTGTCACTGCTACGCGTATCCAAGCATTTGTGCGTGTGGGAAAGGTTCGCGTGCAAGTCGGCTGGGCTTTTAAGCTGCGTGTGCATCCTGCATGTCAACTCCCCCAAATATCTGTCTTTCAAGGAAAGTCTTTCACAGCGTGGGACGCTTTTTGAAAATGGTTTTTGCATGGTGTAGGGGTATAAGCACTGAGTATAGAACTATGGTCCATTTCCGCTAAATGGCCTTCTGAATGCCAAATAAGGAGGAAATGATTTTCTTAGGAACTGCCGTTTTAACCCAGTGAGCGTCCTTTGTTTCATTCGTGGCGTCGACTATCCGCACAGTAGAAGGTGCCAGTAGACTAGGTATTGTAAATAGCGTGAAATGTAGCCAAAAAGGAGCTGTATATTGAAAAATGTTGAGCAGTGCGGGGAAGTTTCATATGTGCTCTCCACGGTTGAGCTGCTAGCAACGACGGATGCTGTGGCGGATAGCAATGCGACCTTCGAGTAGGGACGACTAGGTTGGGTTGATGGTTCGGATCTCCGAGGCTTCGCCGTTTTTGCATTTTATGCTGCCACCCACATATTGCACAGGGCCAAAGCATGTGTCTGACTGGTCATGATCGTGATCAGGACCAGCGATAACCTCTACAAGTCGTAGAATGTATCTGTGGAGCACTATCAGTGGAGGAGCTTCCAGGCTTCACACTCCCTGGAGTGTAGAAGGATCTCTTTATAGCACACTATATAAGTGCTGTAATGGGGGTGAAAACCCTACACCATGGTTCCTGTCCGGAGGAAGCTGTCCTCGACCTCGTTTAT